TTACCATGTTTACGCCGCATCGACACAAAAAGGCTATATCGAGGCTAGAGCGAATTCAAATATTTAAACAAAAGACAGTTTTTGAAATCAGACAAATGGTCCTTCAATTTACTAAAACTTTAGTTTAAAGCAAAATTATCTATGTACATAGAAAATTCACAAATAAGATAAATTAATAAAACTATAAAATCATATTACACTTATACAATATATTATAGTTTGGAATATATTCCAATTTCTTTTAGAACAAAAACAATATCTTCAACAGGAATATTATTGAATAAATCATACATATCATTTACATTAAAATGTTCTTTTCCGGATATCGGAAAAGTCAATACATTCAATTAAGATATGTTTAATTGTATACTTGCAATCGCAAGGTATACATACCGGTTGAATTGCTAGCATATCAAATACGGCATCTACAAATAACACACTGATATTTCCTGCATATACATTTGTTTAAAGGTTTGCATATGTTTGGTTTAATTTCATGCAATTTATTGCCGTTCCTTTTACTCCAAGCATTTTTCCATATATTTTAAACATATTCCCTTAAATAAGATTTAAAATCAGTATATTATATGTTATTTCACATTTAGATATTGGGTCGTGCAAGGCATTCTTTGCTTCCTGATCTACAACTGTATTTCCGTGGATGCCTGTATGATTTGGCACCTATAGAAATATAATTTCATTATTGAGAATTTTCAAATTTCTCATTACGTAAAGGATTTTTAGAATTAACGGGTTTTTATTTTTGGTATTTTGTATTGCTTTTAAACATGTTAACGAATCAGAACATTAGTTCAGCAGATCGGTGAGACAATTGTGGGTTCGATGATCAAAGCACCAAATACTGGTAATAGTTCTGGGTGTTTCAAACAATTTTTGCTATTGACCAACCATGAAATTTCAAAATGGCGGATAATTCCAAGATGGCCGCAGTAAAATATCAAAATCAAAATATATCCCTTATATAACGTCACATTTAAGGTCAAATGTGGCATGATAGTAGTGTTGGTTGTTTCGAAAAATATTAGCTATGAACCCACCTTGAAATTTCAATATGGCGGCATATTCCAAGATGGCCGCCACAAAATATCAAAATATCCCTTGTATTAGTTCAAATTTGTCATCTTAGTAGTGCTTGGTGCTTCGAACAATATAAGCTATGGACCCAAATTGAAATTTCAATATGGCAGTATTTTCCAAGATGGCCGCCATAAGTTATCAAAATCAACAAATATCCCTTATAGGTTATAAAGTGTTTTGTTTTGACGTACCTTCAGTAAAACTAAGTACCCTATAATAAAAAGCGTATGCCACTTTTATAACCTAAAGGCAAACTTTAAAAGATTTTGTGAGGAAAGTATAGAAAATCGTTACTACGGCACCATTCTTGCAGAATAGTAGCCTATAACGAGGGATTACGTATAGACACTAGCATAATTTCAAAATGTAAGCTAGACTTAATTAGAATGTATACTTCTCGACTCTAAAAGTGTTCTTCATGATCAACTGAAAGAGAACATAGTAATCATCTAAAAAATTGCAGTAATGTCAGGCTTGGCAGGCCATTTACAAAGCAGGTACTTGCTTCTTCTGTTTACTGATTATTTTGGTGTTACAATTAACAAGCAAGCGCTATAACCTGTTTAACAACGATACCTGAAAAATCTGCACATGCAGGTAGTTCAAAAAGATACGATGTAGGCTATAATTAGACAATTGTCTAACCAGAAATAAATGTTTGCCGACCTGGTATAATTAGACAATTGTCTAAACAGAAATAAATGTATGCCGACCTGGTATAATTAGACAATTGTGCAACTCTATCCTTACATGGTATAATTAAGTTAACAAAATGATTACGCAGACTACTTGAAGCAGTTTATAATGAAAACATTAAATATGTCTTGACAGCATTCCACGCATGTAGAGCCAAGATAAATGGTCACCCGCCTTTATACATCTGTCCGTATTGACCAATGTTTGAGGAAGGGATCAAATCTGTAACAACCATTCTACATTCCATGAAAAGAATCCAAATATGTGTTTTTTTTTTCCGAGACATGTATCAATTACCATAATGATCAATCTTTTTTTTTCCTTTTGCAAAATTGGAACAGCGGAACTGGGCACACATATTTCTAGCAGAACAAACAAATAGTTTTGTTTCAAGTCTTCATATTCATGATATAGAAATGATATCGAACCTTATGTGATTAGTTAGAAAACAGTGGGTGAACAAATATTAAAGAAAACATAGTACTTCATGAATAGCAGATTATTTTTTAAAGGCCATTATGCATCATCAACAAAACACTCCCATGAGGTTACAATCGGTGTACTTCTCATTCCTATGCAAAGATCCTAACTTAATTTTTACTTGGGGACGAGACCCTTGTAAGAACTATGTAACATTCAAAGAATGAATTTATTAGAGGGAAATTGAGAGTCCACTGAACCACAACTGGTCTGTAACATTAAATATTGAACTTGACATGCTGATGTGAAATCATTAAGAGAATGTTCCTTCTGGGTGTATTGAGATTCCATTATACAGCTTATTTATTGGTTCTTTGAATATTTTTTCCAAATTATCGCTTCCAGTACCCGTGCGCGATATAATGTCATTTAACCATACAGTTTAAGTGTTGCAAACGTAATTTAAAAATGGTACACGTAGATCAAGCCAATGAGTAGAATTACACACTTGTAAAAGGAGAAGGAAGGGCAATCCAATTGACCATCAAATCCGCACATCTACGGCATTTAATGGTGTTTTGTCTAGGAACGGCCTTAGTAATTAACAAGTTTCAATCCACCTTTGAATTAGTATAACGTCATCAGAAAAACCCAAATGATGTTCTTCATCAGGAACGGTTTAGAAGCAAACACACACCATTCTCAAAGCATGTGAAAGCTTGAGGCTGGGGAATGTTTCGGCCTTTTATCAAGAATGCTACTTTGAGTAAATGTGGATAGTATATACACTATTGGACATTTATCACAAAGGTATCAACATTTTGTAATGAGCTAATAAAATGTGATTGGCAAAAATAAAACGGATGTCACAGTAGATGGAAATGCTCGCGGACAATGATGTTATATACGGTGCTGTTTAAAGGGTAGTGGAGAGTGGGGCAAAAACTGCATGTGTTGTCTTTGAGAAACATGTTGAAAACTACATCGATAATATGTTCTGTTTAGATCATAAAAAAGAGGGATAAGATACTTAGGTACTCAAACATCATTAATAAAACAAAACAGATAAGAATATGGATAAAAAAAAAACGCAAGATTAGACTAACATCAGTCAGGAATCAAAACACACAAATCTAACAATTAAGCAACACCAACTCCACTAAAAAACGGGAATGATTGAAAGACTGGTCAGCAGTCCCTTTTCAACAAAAAGTAAAATAACAAAAATACCGAACTCCGAGGAAAATCAAAAGCTCAAACACATCAAACGATTGGATAACAACTGTCATATTCCAGACTTGGTACATGCATTTTCTTATGTAGAAAATGGTGGTTAAAACCTAGCTTTATAGCTAGCTAAACCTCTCACTTGCATGACAGTCGCATGAAATTCCGTTATATTGACAGCGATGTGTGAACAAAACAAACAGACATAATAGGTAAAAATGTCAAAAATGTCAACATGTTACATCAGAGTGGGTTCATAGCTTACATTGACTACCAATTATATATCTTCAATTGTGCAAAGCTTCATGCTTTAATCACCAAACCCACAATTCTTCTAAAAATATACAAGAATCAGCTGGACTACATATGATAAACGTTGACTTGTCAAAAGTAGCAATAAACTGCAAGGCCATAATTATTGCTTTAATTTCTGCAGTAAAGAATGATGTTGCAGGAGGCAAGCGGAGAGTTGCAGCTCTTTAATATCGGAAATGTCATTGCTATTGTAACAATGGTATTTATTTAACCACTGTTAACATTTGTCGTGTATTACGTTCAATCACAAATACACTTGCACAAAGAAGATATAGATACAATGTAGTTTTTTCTTCTCTTTTGAAGATGTTTTAAATAAGGTACGCACTCTTCCTTTTCTAACATTTGCATTATCATCTATAGTATTTTTCCAGTAAATCCTATATCTACTAATTCAAATATGTTCAACCTTTTCAACGACAAATTTTGTTTATATCAACATAAAAACATCTTAAAATATATACAATACTAGAATACCGAAAGAACTCATTACATTTGTGAGTGTCCATACTTGTGAACAGGGCTTGTTTAAACAAATAACCCTCTTCTAAATTAGTAAGTCTTTGTAAAACTTTTAAATTTAACAAATAAGGTCAATGTGCAATAGAGTACGCCCTAGCCTTTCCATAACAGTTAAATTGCATGATTTTTTTACTAACACCGAGAATGTTTTTGTAGAACTTTTAACTTAAGTTTTCGGAATCAAATTTACTAATTGTTTTTCTATTTTAAAAAAGACTGTCTGTTTAGCGTTTTAAAATTTGAAAGTACTATTTCTCCAGTTTCTGAGCTATATGATACAATCGGCGTTATCGTGTGGTCAAAGATATGTAAACAACTATCAATGTTCGGGATATTTTCACCGAAAGTACTTTATAACTTGAAGAACGCCTTTAACCCCTTTTGATACAAATCATATCGAGCCCTATAAAAATTCTCCTAGAAACAGAAAAAACACCCAAATATTTATAATTTCTAACATTTTCAATGGGGTCACCATCAAAACAAAAGTTACATTTAATTAGTGTACAACCTTTGTTAAAAATTACAATTTTTTTATTTTTCCATAATTACATACGATCATCAGTTGACCCCGAGAAGATCGACATTTCCAGAAAATTAGAATTATAGATGAAGTGTATAGGAAAAAAATAAGATTTGGACATTTGTTATTCATTATTCTTTGTCGTATCGTTGAATACCACTTTATTTTCTCATTGAACTTTTTATTATATGTTTCTCACCCACACACTATCGTTTATATCTGCACCTTCGACAAGACAATTTCTGACTTTTTCCAAATTCCCGGCTGCAGCTGCCTCACCCAGACCCTGTAAGAAAAAACATGTATATTCCATTTGACCAGTATTCTCAATTCTAAATAACAATGGTTTTGTACTTTAGTATCAAGTATGTCATTTAGATGTCTTTGTAAAATACAAATGCAATAGTTGACGATATGCTATCTAGTCTTTGTGTATAACATGTATAAATATATTAGAATACATAACAGTAGAGCATTTCTGATGATTTGATTTTCATCTTGACCTATATTGCATCATATTGATTATTGCCTTATATACTTCGTCTTAAAAGTTTGGTACGCACCAGAGAGATTCGGAGTAACACGACATGTGCATGCAATCGGATCGCAGATAAACAAAATGGCGGAAATGTAAATTGCACCCTGCTGCAGGCATCAGAGTTGCAGGAATTGGATGACAAATCATATATGTTGCTGAAATAGTTGGTACTATGTTAGTACTCGCAAACTCGTTCATTATGATATACTGATTGGGACAATATATCTCATTATTAATGCAATAGCTCTATAATATAAAAAACAAAAATTTTCAAGAAAAAAAAAAAGATGAAAGCGGGTATAAACATTATTCGTATTTAGAAGTTCAATTGCATTTTGGTTTAAAAGTGTCATCATGTACACACTAACCATATATCAACTGATTTTAATTAATAACAAGTGACAGGCAGATGTTTCTCTAGTGCAATTAACTGCGTACTCCTGAAGGCATAATTATCCTTCAATTCAGTCTTTCCTCTTTCATATCATCAAAACACAAATATCAAAACACGTATAAGTAAAGCATATATACATAAATAAGTTAGGTACTAACATTCGACTAGATTGTTACCTTACATTATTAACAACACATTCAGAACTTGTATGTCTAAAGAAATATACAAAGGCGACTGAGCATCCAAATTGTAGATTATAAAATATACTGTATGTTGGTAATAAACATACCTCTCTCCATATTTCATAATATTCCATGTAGGTTTGACAAAGTTATTGATGTCTAGAAAAAAGTTAACATCAGACTAAATCTGAATGTTATCTGTAAAAAAACTAAGTTCATTTATCAGTAAAATACAGAAAAATGAAAACTAAAAAGTTTCGCTTGTTTCTGTCTTGTAGTGATAAACAAGCTTCCGGGTAAATTTAATAAAATTCCATGAAGGTTTGACAAAGTTATTGAAAAACTTTAATCACACACTGAACCTAAATGTTGACGCCGCAGACACTGACGACGGAATCGAAGATCGCCATGTCTCGCTTTCGCGTAATAAATGTCGCACGCTCGACAAAAAATTAACAATAATTGGATCCAAAGTAAAAGCGTTATTTCTGAATAATTTATCGTATTATTTGCGATACACATAAGCCCGATAAAAGACTTTAAACGTGATGTTCGAACGATCCACAATGTTTAAGGAATGTCAGATATGTTGTTGATCTCCGTTAGTGAGAATGATCTGCCCGAGTCACGTTTAACCTTGGATTCGTTTAAATTTACAGCAAGACAGTTAAAGAATTGTCACAGTTTTCATAGTTGGGAAACCTCGTTATTTTAGATATATCAACATATTAAAAAAAAAGCAATTATATAGTTGACCTTCAGACTGAATATGTTTTGAAAGTTCTAAAAACGGAGCTGTTTGTTATATTAAGTCCTGGAATATAATAACGGTAGCAAAATTGTCTAATGCTGATTGTTAATACACGGAAAAGAAGGATACTCGTCAATGAAGATAAGACAAATACAACAAAATGTATCTAATGATATTTTTGTCAAACAACAATTTACAGTCCGTCTTTCACACAGTCTGATGAATCTCGGTCAGTAACCGAAAGCCAACATAATTTACCTGAAAACTGATTTTCAGTTCTGAATTGAAAACAACACATTATTTATTTCATGCGTCCGAAGCGCTTTTCTGATTTACCTTCATCAAAACCGAATACTTGAAAGCCAAGGATGTATAAGAATCGAAACTGTGGAAGAGTTATATGACATAAAAGGACATACAAGGATAGCCAAATCCATCTTTGTTATCTTTGCCTGAGGGAGTTGATACCTTAGTTTCTTTATAATTTTAAAATTTTTAACGGACACTTTTAGAAAAAGTTTGATATAAATCATGCTAGTACCGAATTAAATGTAACAGGTGCAATAAAGAAAAATCAGCAGGTAAGGCCAGACGTAGCTGATTAAGAGTAATAATACGTATTATCATACTTCACGTACAAATGCAATATTTTGATTGGCTTATACGAGGGTGTTTATTTACTCTATTATATGGTAAATACTCTATTACCCTTCACGGAGACGCTTGATCAAGTGTGCGCTTTATTAAATACGATTCTATCCTATGGCAAATGCTCTATCTCCCTTCACGGAGACGCTTGATCAAGTGTGCGCTTTATTAAAAACGGATGGTTGTTATGCTCAATACGTCATAGTTTATTACTTTGAATTTAGAATTTAATCGACAGTTATAACAGAACATTCAGTATAATAAATTAAATAACACATATCTGAGAGGGTGATAAAGCAGATTGTTGCCCCTCGAAAAGACATTGTCAACCTTGGCTTCGCCTCAGCTGACAATGTTTTCTCGGGGTAACAATCTGCTCTATCACCCTCTCAGCTATGTGTTATTTATATAATGAAGAATCTGGTATATCACAGGTAAAGTCACGTACTTGACAGGAAGAAAACAAATGCTATTTTAACTACGTATGTCATGTATGTGAAGGAAGCGGAAGGTTCGATATTTGTTATTTGAGATTTTAAAAGAATTGTATTCTTTAAAGTACAACATTTTATGGACAGATATGTATTTAATAATTATAGCCAGAACGGACATATCAATTTTGGAATACTATTCAAAATAAAGACTACCAGGCACGGCTTAAAAGACAGTTAGATCTTCGTTATCAATTATTTCAGTTATCTTTTCTTATAGAACATGTTTTTTTTATTTTCATTCGATAAAAAAAAATGTGTATGTAAAACAATATATATTTGCATGAGATTATATTATAATTTTTTTCTTTTTTCTTTTGAAAAGGAGTCCTACAAATTAATTTCAAATATCTCGACATGTGTTTGCAGCATTTTACAATCAAAGAATACTTCAGACACCCGATTTACCCTAAAACGTTTTTCAACCGACATAATTATTTAAACAAAACAATATCAAACCAGAACAATGACTCACCATAATCAGTCTCACAAATCAACACGTATACGGACGTGAAAGAAACTTCTGTTCACTGATGATACAAACTGTTGTATATAATTCCTTATTGAAGGAATTCAATATTTTGGTCGACAAATTGAAAAGTTAGTACCTTGAACCATATGCCAATAAAAAATCAGCACTATTTGCATATGTTACCTTCGAGTTTCCTTTAATCTTGACGTATCCATATTGATTATCTATATCTTACACACAACTCGTCAAAAATACAAGTTTTATACTTTGTTATGCCAGACACGAGTCTCATCAGTAATGATTCGAAACAGACGGAATGCCAAGTAGCGTTTAATTAAATCTTTGCCTAACAGTAAAATATCATCAGCCTTTCGAATAATTCAACGTTTCATAAATAGTTAATTTACCAACATATGGATATAGTACTATTGGATGATAGGTCAAAACAACTGAGCTTGTGATACCCTCGGTTAAGAAACGTCCATCAGCAGTGGCATCGACCCAGTGGTTATACAATGTCATCAAAGATACAAGGTGTGTTACTTGGTACGTCAGTAGCATGTTTCGTCTACACGCGTCAAAACAAAAAAGGCAGCCAGCAAAAATACAAAAACAAAACAAACAAAAACAAACTTGGGTGCAAGTCACTAGACAGAAAACAAAAGTCTGTACAATAAGAACTGTAAAGAAAAATCAGGATAAATTCATAATATCCGTAATGGTAAACATTACACGCTGCATTGCTGACCGCGTTCACTTTTCTTCTACTTGATTCGATATCAGAGTAGGATAAAATGCAGTATGTATAATTCTTTGATACCACTTGCTTAAGCGTACCATAATACCTGCGTGATCAAGACTTGTTAAGGAAACCGAGTGTTGAAGTTGTGCCAAAGGATAGAAACATACATTAACAAATAGATACGACATATGCACTGATAAATACAAAAATCTCATAATATGGACAGAAAAGTGGATTGCAATCTAAAAGCGTTAAGTTACATCTAGTGTTCATAAAGTACAACATGTATCTATTCCACAAGTGACACCCATTGTGTTGCTGACGAGTTATAGTCTCATGATAAGTCACATTTGGTTTTAATCATAAATTTTTCAATTTACATACCGTATACCGGGTTCTTTTCGCGGGTGTAAAATATCGAGATTTAGGGGCAACAAAGTATACGAAAAATATAAGCGGTTGTTAATTTGGCGGATTCTAAATTCCCAATTAAATATTTTGGCAGACACTGAATTGGTTGCTCTTAAAAAGTTGTAAAAGGTGACAGGAAGAAAACAGTGAAACATGTCTTTGCTGAATGACGTCTTATTTATTGATCATATTCAGTTACAGTTAATCAATAGAATATCGTTAACTTAGATATTTGTCACAGGTGTACAAACTTCTTTTTAATGTTAGTATGATTAGTTACGAAATTGAGTGGACCTTTGATGTACTAATTAGGTTATACAATTATCATGAGTGACTTACAACTCTTATATCATGTATATAATTTTACACTTATTAATCAGAGTACCTTACTCGCTTATATTATTTGACAGTAAATCAAAACGGTATGCATATACATTTTTTTATTAGCACTCATGACGTCTTTTTATAAAATACATGTATATACAGTGCCCTTTGGCACTATTGTTGTTCAAACAAACACATACTGTTATTGACCTGCCGACCGGAATAACATTGATCATTCACAAAACGATATATAACAATCAGAATGTACCAAATGTATGCATATATTTTCGCGATTTTCATTTATCCGCCAAAATAAGCGAAAATAAACGCCCC